AAAAATTTTTTTAAAAAGAAAGAACTGGGAAGCTCTATAGATCTAGCTTGTAGGGCTTAAGTCATTTCCATCTGCATGTTAAAAGTTAAACAACTAACATGAAATGAAGATTCACAGAAATGAAAGACCTAAGCATGAGAAAGAAAGCCATCAAAATCCCAGAGATGAAAGCAGGGCAAAACCTCTTTGACCTCGGCCACAGAAACTTCTTATTTAACACATCTGCAGAGGCAAGGGAAACAAAACCAAAAATGAACTATTGGGACCTCATCAAAATAAAAATCTTCTGCACAGTGAAGGAAACCATCAGCAAAACTAAAAGGAAACCGAAGGAATGGGAGAAGTTATTTGCAAATGACATATCAGATAAAGGGTTAGTATTCAATATCTATAAAGAACTTATCAAACTCAAGACGCAATAAACAAACAATCCAGTGAAGAAATAGGCAAAAGACATGAATAGACACTTTTCCAAAGAAGACAACCAGATGGCTAACAGATACATGAAAAAATGCTCAACATCACTCATCGTCAGTGAAATACAAATCAAAACCACATGAGATACCACTTCACACCAGTCAGAAAGCCTAAAATTAACAACTCAGGCAACAACAGATACTGGCGAGGATGTAGAGAAAGGGGAACTCTTTTGCACTGCTGGTGGGAATGCAAACTGGTGCAGCTACTCTGGAAAACAGTATGGAGGTTACTCAAAAAACTAAAAATAGAACTACTCTATGACCCAGCAATTGCACTACTAAGTATTTACCCAGAGGATACAGGTATGCTGTTTTGAAGGATCACATGCACCCCAATGTTTATAACCACGCTGTTGACAATAGCCAAAGTATGAAAAGAGCCTAGATGTCCATGGACATACGAATGGATAAAGGAGATGTGGTATATATATATATATACAATGGAGTATTACTCGGCAATCAAAAAACAAAACAAAACAAAAAGAAATCTTCCCATTTGTAACAACGTGGATGGAACTAGAGGCTATTATGCTAAGTGAAATTAGCCAGTTAGAGAAAGACAAATATCATATGACTTCTCTCATATGATGGAATTTAAGATACAAAACAGATGAACATAAGGGAAGGGAAGCAAAAATAATATAAAAACAGGGAGGAGAACAAAACATAAGAGACTCTTAAATACAGAGAACAAACTGAGGGTTGCTGGAGGGGTTGTGGGTGGTGGGATGGCTAAATGGGCAATGGGCATTAAGGAAGGCACTTGTTGGGATGAGCACTGGGTGTTATACATAGGGGATGAATCACCAGATTCTAGGCCTGAAAGCATTATTACACTATATTCTAACTTACTTGGATGTAAATTAAAAAAGAAAAAGAAAAAGAAAAAAGAAAAATAAAAGAAAAAAATACAGATAACTAATAGGCATTTCAAAGCTACTCATCTTCACTAAACAAATTAAAGCACTGAGATAAAATTTTTCTCCAATTAGTTTGGCAAAATTCAATGAAATGTCATCCTATAGAGATAGGAACATTCCTAGATATGACTCATTAATACCATCAAGGAATTTCACCTGATGTAACATCCAGAAGCATTTATTACAGCATTGATTATCACAGCAAAAAAGAAAAAAAAATGGCCCAACATAATTGTCCATCAATATAGTAATGAATAAATAAACCATAAGAATAATTACAATGGAATATAATACAAAAATTCAATTCAGTAGTTGAGTTTAAAAGACGGAAGTTCATGAGATGGTAAAGAGAAATATGAAGGCTGAATAAATTATATGGACACTTTTCATTAAAAGGAAAAAACCTACATAGGCAGAAGTGAGTGAGCCACAGTTTCATAGAGGCTGGAAGATGATATGAGAGTTCTGGGTCAGAGACTAGGGACAGTTTAGTATTCACAGTAACAAGCACAACCAGAGTATGCGTATTTGCACCAATTCCTCCAGCCACAATTTCCAGAGACCTGAGAATCAGGCCAGATGATGTGGTCACATATAATGGGTTGTGTTGGAGGAGAGGAACCCTGAACTTAGAAAACCCAAATATTTTATACTAGGCAGTAAAAGCCTGCCTGGTCTCATCTTTATCATAAGTGAGACATTACATTTATTATGCTGCTTAGTAAAAAACCAAAAATACACCTACTCTTTGCTCAGGAGGCAGACACTATATCTTCCAAGGCTATTCATTATACACATTTTAAATATAGTCCTGAATAAAAGCACTGAGTGCCTCTTCCTGTAAGACTTGCAGTAACATGAAAGACTCACAGAGAATTCCATGAATTCTCAATATTCTATTTCATTCTCATTTTGTGTCAACAAACAAAAAAATTGTAGCTGTCAATTAAAATGATATATCATTTTACCAAAACTTAAAACAATGAAAATGTTGATACTCTGCTCATCAAATATCATAAAAAGATATATTTATACATATAAGAATATGCTTTGATTGTGGGTGATTATGTTGCTCATTCTCTGTACATTCTTTACAGTAGAAAATGACAGATAATGATGATTTTATATAATAAATATTTTTTAGTCACTTGGAAAAATAGCATCCAGACTTATCACTGCCCTAATTACTCAGGGCAAAATTAGGAAGATAATATTTTAAAAAATTATTTAGCTTTAAAGATAACCATCACATGCATATTTTTTCTCACATATTTTCCACTGAAAAATGGTTCTTAAAAAACAATTACATGTCAACAACTCAACAAGAATCTTTCATTCTGAGAATAACACACATTACCTGTCTAGAAGAATGTAATTAAATAATAGATTTTTGTGCTAAACTTTCAACTTCTTCATTTTACTATTAAAGGAACACTTAATGTGCAGAGACATTAAGCGACCTGACAGTGGCCAACAACTAGTTAATGTCAGAGCTGAGACCAAACCCCACATGCCCTGACTTGGAGCACAGGCTCTTTCTTCTTATCCAAAGCCACATACATGATACGATAGAGCTTTCAAACTGGGGTATGCATACCCCTGCAGGCAATGGCAGCATGCCAGGGAGGTAAAGCCACAGGATAAACACAGGGTGTCTTGCCTCAATGTAAATATTACTCAAAGATTTGAGGGAAGTTAGGGGGAGCAACTTTATTTTTATACTAAAACAAGATTGATTGTAAAGCAAATGTACATTTTACATGGATTTTTCAAAATTCAAGGTGAATTCCTCAGGGTAGACTCCCATCTCATGGAGGTTAAAAAATCTCTCTGCTCACTCTGTTAAGGATGCTTTTTTTTATAAAAACGTGATACCACCCATGTGAGGATTTCTATGATGTTCCTTTACCAAAAAAGTATTTCACTAACCTCCATCTTTGACATTCCATAATTAAATTTGCATTATTTTAGTCCTCATGATCAGTTAAATGGTGAATTTTTCTCCAAGAGAGAACACATTAAGACCCTATAATAAATGAGTTCCTGAGTTCCTTTAGTAAAATAGATTTTTTTTATTTCTTTTTTCTTCTTAATCAACATTAAGTAAAAAGATTTTTTAAATAAGGATAAAATTTTTCAATGTAATCTTAGTAGAAATTATCTGCTTAGTTTACTTATGTAAGATGCTCCATAAAAGTGTTCTGCATATGATTCTAATACTCGCATGTGTATGATGTACAAAAGCGAGCAAATAGTATATACTCCCATTTTTTCATGTAGCATCTACATGAATGATAATCTGAAATTATATAACTGATATTAACAGCAAAAAGGGACCAATAAATTATTTTATGCATTTTCTCAGTGGATCATTCCTCTCAACTGATTTTTACTTCTGGGATAAAAACCACTTCAACAAACACTCTCAGATAATTACTCTGTGATAACTTGGTAGACGCTTACCCACCCACCTCCACCAGACCCAAATACTTTCAAGAAGTACTAAAAGAGTGTGTGTTTGATTTCTCTACCGAGACAGTTTTGAACGCTCTATCCCAACACCAGCATTTTTTTTTAATGCAAGTAGCCTGACTTATTTCTAAAAGCTACATTTAATTTTTAGATTTCAAGTTCAAATTTGGACCCACGCAACCAACTCATACAATTGAACCAACGTTTACTGAATGCAGTGTACTCGGCCTTGGCAGAAAATAGTGATGGCACAGACAGATCTCAAGCATCCCAAGCTAGAGGGAAACAAAACTCACATGAACAAGATCACATGAAAGCCCATGCAAGAGGTTCCAATGGAACTAGGGGATCCAACAAGTAAAAAAAAAAAAAAAAAAAAAAAGACTTAGAGATTGGAAGAGACTTGCAAAACAGCGACTCAACTTACCCATTTTCTGTCAGAGGGAGGACTTCTCAGCTACTCAGCCACCATGCTCTTCACAATAAGATCCACCAAGAGTTCCATTTTTCTGTGCACCTGGAATCGTGGGACTCCTCCATAATGCCACCTCCGTGCCCATCCTAAGACTAGGTCTAGGATTAAGCAAGTTAGACATTGGCCTTAGTTCAAAAACGTAAGGTATTCAAAGTCAGCAATCAAAATAAATGTCTTAGGCAATATTTTTTCTTAGAAATTCAAAATTAATACAGCAGCATTCATGAGAGGCGGAATGTCAAAATTTTAAATAAAGGCAGGATTAGCGGTACTGATTTTTTCCTTTTTCCTACAAGCTCCACTAGGGTTCTGCGGGGTGTACCTTCATCCCCAGCCTCCTTGTGGTGGTCAGTGGTACATCTAATTTTCGGAGAGCTGCGTTGATACTTAGAGCTCAAATCAATGACATTATTATTACTGGGAGACTGCCTTTGGGGTATTCTCTCGCACTCTGGTATATATAGCTGATCACCTGCTCTCTGGCATCCACAGCACGCTTCCCCGCACCCCGGGGAAACAGGAGTGTGTCCAGGGTGTAACGTGATGGACGCTGCAGGGCCACACGTCACAGAAGTCAGCGACTGCCTTCAAATCTTCCCTATTTTGGATTGGTTTTTAGTTGACGAGTTTGCGGTAACTCTTGGTAACAGAACAATGAGCTGCGGGCTGGGCTGGCTGGATAGGAGGTGCTGCTGGCCTCCTGGGTGCCCGGATGGCCTTGGCCCCTAACCATCTGGCCCGCACCTTCAGACACTCAACGCGCGTAGTCAGTGTTCCGGGAACTGCCCTGGAGATCAGCCTCAGGGTGAGCGGTGCCCTCTTCTCCAGGCCACGAACCCTTGGATCCCTGCGCCAAAGCCCCAGTCAGTTGGAGGCCGCCAGGTGGGGTCGGGCCGGAGGGGGTGCAACCACGGCAAACCCCAGGCCCTGCGCTGGGGCTCGGGGTCCGTAATCTCCGGGGTAGGGTTTGGGGGTGCCTCTGGTCCACACTAGTGGACCGACGTGAACCTTTTCCGGCTTGCCATCTGCCGCATATATAACAATGGCGGTTTAGGGAGTAGGCGAGAAAGACATAATCTTGGAGTCTTGACTCTCCAACAAATATATATAACCCGGAAACGCCATTCCCTGAAATGGCATTTCTTCTTTGATGGACAGTACAAGCAGAGCTGAGGGCAGTTAAGATAAAGGCTTAAAGAATGTTTGAGTGGGGAAAAAAATGTCAGAAGTGTTAGACATAGGAGCTAGTCAAGTGTTGAAGGGTTCTTGGGTTTCTCTGGAAAGGCTTGGGGCTACCATGGAAATCAAGGCTGGGGTTCTGTAAGGAACTGAAGCTCCTGACAGTAAGTCCTAACTAAGCTATGGTGCATGTGAGTTGCATGTAGCTATAGGAGTTTATCTATCATCAGAATACATAAATCATCAAAGAGAATCTTTCTTCTATAGATTCTGATGTAGACTTCATTCTTCTGGGATTTAACAGTTCCAAAATTATCAAACTTTTTTTTTTTTTTTCTGTTTTATCTAGATCCTAAGGCATCAGGGCAGTGGAGGAAGCTTGCTGCTATCCTCCCTGTGCCAGATTGGATTGGCAATTCCATGTTGGATTGCTTTTATTTCCCTGGTTGGTTAACCAGTTAATTAGAAATCTCACTGTTCCCGCTCATCAGACAACTGACATTGTTGTCCAGATTCAACACCTTTTCTGAGTAATACTCTCTACCTACTACCTTACATAACACTGCAGATTCAGATTCTGTTTTCTTGAGGGGCACCAGGGTGGCTCAGTCAGTTAAGCATCCAACTCTTGGTTTCCACTTAGGTCATGATCTTCCGGTTCCTGAGTTCAAGCTCTGCATCAGGCTCTCTGCTAACAGTATAGAACCTGCTTCATATCCTCTGTTCCCCCCCCCCCGCCCCCACTCCTCCATTGCTCTCTATCTCTCTCTCTCTCAAAAGTAAAATTAAATTAAATTAAATTAAATTAAATTAAATTAAATTAAATTAAATTAAATTAAATTAAATTAAAAAACATTTAAAAAAATAACAAATTCTACCTTCTTGAAATTTGTTTTCTTGGCTCCCACTCTGCTCTTGTTTCTCCGAACTTTGTGAGCATTCTCCCAAACCCCCTTCCTTCCGCTCTCCCAGCCCAATTCCCTCCTCTCTATAAATGGAGACACCTGCCGACCATCTAACTTGGGTCCCGCTCCCTCCTCTGTAGGGACCTGACTCACCACGATGTGCATACCCACCCTGACATCTCTGGTGAGATCCACACTTCCACCTGCAGCTTTCTGGTGGATGTCTCAACCCGTGTGTCCCAGCCGCCAGCGCCACAGTTTCAGCATTTCCAGCTGAATTCACTTTCCCTTCCAAGACACCTCCTCCTCTTCACGTCCTCACATGATCATCACCACCTGTGACTTTGCTCGCCCTCGTTCTCAACCTTCTTATTTGCCAGTTGCCATCCGTTCTCTCCGCACACCCTCTGTCCTGTCTGTTTGGCACTCATTCCCGCTTGCGACTCTCCTGGGGCCTCGCCCTGATTTGCCAGTGGCAGCCGTGCCTCCCACCTGCCGTTGTCTCTGCGCCTCAGCCGATCGTACCTGTTCCGCCTGCTAGAGTCTTCTTCCTGAGGCCTTGCTTTGTCACAACTTTTCTGCAGTTTAAACATCGCTTAATTCCTATTGCCCCAGAATGGAGTCCAGTGCTGAATTAATCACTCCAGAGTTCTCAAGCCCCTTGTTTTAGAGTACCAGCACAGCAAGGGCACCAAAAGAGATGGAAGAAAAATGTCTTTCAAATAACTTGATGTTGGAGAGTGTTTAAAAGCATGGATGTAGTTATGACGGGAAAAAAAGAGAACTTTGTTGGACTCTCTTGCGCTGACTTTATCATGTTGCTAAAATATGTATTTCATATATATGTTATAAAATGAAATTGATTTTAAGTTACAGATTACATACAACATGTGATTTTAAGTTTGAGTTCTTCGGGCCTATAAAAGTTTTGTTTGCACAGTGAGTAAGTGCACACTTCGGAGCACAGATAATACGACGCCAATCCACCTTTCTTAGTATATATTTCTCACAATTACCTTCCACAGGCCTTTCACTGCATTCAAAGACCACAAACCATACATGTGTCATACTTTCTTTCCTTGCTTCTTCTCCATTGTGTATTTGCTCCCTTCTGATTAGAAGCACGCTCATCAATATTCTGTTTTTAATTTCTCATTACCCTTTCAGGTCCAGCCTAACTGTCACTCATGCCCTGAAATGTTCGTGGAGTTCCTAGGCTGACAGTAATTTCTTCTCCCTCTGTATTCATCAGAGCATATCCTCATTGTCCCATATCCCTTAACACCTGTAACCTTCCTTTACAGCTCTGTGTGTCCTGTGCTCTCTGAGTAAAAGCTTTGCTCACAGACAGTGGACACCTTACCTGATTCATCACTACATTTATTCGCTAGTCTAATAAACTAAACTAGTCACCACCTGAACTAAGCACTCAGGGGTCTGTGGTTCAGCAAATGATGGAACCACTATTTTAAAAATGGTCCATCTTAGAGAATGCTGTTTTCTGCAGCTGCTACGGAAATGGTATGGTGTTTTCTCAAAAAATTGCACATAGGATTACCATATGATCCAGCAATCCCACTTCTGAGTATATTACACTCAAAGGAAGTGAAAACTGGGACTCAAATTGATGTTTGTACACCCACGTTCTTAGCGGCGTTATTGGCAAAAACCAAAAGATGGCTGCAACCCAAGTGTCCATAGACTGAGAAATGGAACAACAAAATGTAGTAAATACCTATGAAAAAATATTATTCAGCCGTAAGAAAGAAGGAAATTCTGACACACACTACGACATGGGTGGACCCTGGAGACAGTATGCTAAGTGAAATTAACCAGGCATAAAAGGACAGATATTCTCTGATTCCGCTTAGGTGAGGTACCTGGAGTAGTCAAATCCATAGAGAGAGAGAATTGAAGGATGGTTGCCGGAGGGCTGGAGGAAGGGGGAAAGTGGGCAGTTAGTGTTTAATGGGTACAGAGTTTCATCTGGGGAAGAACAAAAACTTCTGGAGATGGGTGGTGGCCACGGTTGCACTACCATGTAAATGCACTCAATGCCACAGCACTATACCATTAAAATAGTAAATTCCATGTTATATATATTTTACCACAATAGAAACAGAGTTCAGGGAATGAATGCTTGTTGTGCTTCTTTAGATGAAAGGGATATGCTGCTCGTGAAGTTGTGTGTTGATTGGGACCTGGAACTGCTCCACCACGGATGCTCTGAAACTTGAAACTTCTTGGCACGTTTTCGTGTTCTTTGGCACTTCGACATTAATAGTTGTTACTAGATTCATACCAAATTTTTGGTTGGAAGGAAACATACCATGATTAAAAGCTGTGTAAATAATTACACCAGCGATTTGCATATTATGCTGATTGTTTCAATTTCCCTTTTCATCTCTTCATTTTCAAAATTTGACTCAAATCCTTACAATATTTATTCTAAATTTTCAAAGTTTGTGTCAATTTCCAATTACTGAATTAATATGTACTTCTTAAAATATCCAAAAATTATTTTCAAATGTACAGGTTAGAAAATGAAAGTCCCCCATGATCTCAAATGATAACTTTTGTTACCGACTTGGAGTGTGTGCAAATGCACACATGTATGTGTACACATGTCATTGGTAACAAAAATGGTAT